TAGAGCTGTTGAGGTGTGAGAACTTTGAAGTGCGCTCCTGAGAAATAGAAATAGATAATTCTTTCGGCCTTTTAACTTCGGTCGGTGTCAATTTCGATATCTGTTTGCTCTTGTTCAGACACAGAGTAAAGGGAATACTGTTTCTGAAAATTTTGTTGCAGGTGTTATATTTTCACTCTTTATGCAGCTTGAGAACGTTTACCTTACCTGCAGCTTGAGAACGTTTACCTTACCTGCAGCTTGAGAACGTTTACCTTACCTGGTATAATTGGGATCCTTCTTTGTTCTTCTTCCAGTTGCTTATTTGGGAAACCAACTTCCTGTTGATTATGATTTCTCACATTCGCCAAGCAAATCTCTGGACGCTTTCAGCATTTCAAATGTCAGACAATTGGTTCAAACTGTTAATAGCCATCCCACCATATGAATATTTCAGTTTTAGCTGCTGCTTCATCCCTGTGATACAGGTCAGCTGGGTCGACTGACATTACTTGGCTGTTCATATTTTCTGTGTTGGTTTATGGTTCTTTTTTTATCTGTTACTTAAATTTTGCATTCATAAAATAAAAGTGTTTTTTACCATTTATAATCTTGTATAGTTAGTTTTTATTGCAGTCTTTGCAGATGGCCTCATGGTTCAGACCTTATACTAACTTATAATGGAGAAATCTTCACATTCCTTTGCATACTTCTATGTGATTTTCCTAACCTGACAACACATTGATTCTCCCTATTTGTCTGCGTGGAAAATGAGCACGGCATTAGTTTTCAAAAATGCAGCCTTGATCTGATTATATTGGAATAGCTTCTGTACAAGTATCAATAGTTGTAAGGTGGCAAGAAAACATTCTTGGATTGTTTAAATGGTTTGGACTATGGGCAGTTTTCTAAAAAAGTTTCACTTCCTTTGGAATCTTTTTTTTCACTACACGCTAAAGATCAAGAAATATAATAAGTTAAGAGAAACTGTACCACTTCATCTCCTATGATATTTTCGGTTATTTATGATATTTGTAGTAGTAATTTGAAATTATTCAAATGGTTAAAAGAAAATTTTTAGCTGAGCTTCGGCAAGAAAGTGAACATGGATTTTGTATGGAATTTTAAGGAACTGTAATTAAGTTTTGCATGTTATTTCAATTGGCTGCTTCTCCTAGCTATTGTCAGATAGAGAAGACCATTATGATTTTGCCATTTTGGTGTGAGCAAAGAAAGACATAACTGTGCGTTGTGGGTCATCTACATGGGACATTGGAGGCCTAATGAGCTCTGCCCCTAATTGGAGTTAAACTATGCATAGAGAATGTGTTCTTGCTTACTGACTTATCAGGTTTCAGATACTACCTGTTAAAATTTTCATCTGTGATTATGTTCTCTGTTCCAGTTGTCTTGGTTTGCTTTCATTATTTCTATGCATGTCTAGGAATCACCTAAATGACCGAAATATTGTGTGTTGTGAAGTGTTTTGTTAAGAAAGATAGAGAAGACCAGAATGATCCTACCACATCCAAGTTCCTTGAAACTTTGCTCACTGTATATCATGATCCAGATTTGATGCCAATCCAATATTCCCTGGTGCTCTAGCTGCTGAAGTTTGAAGTTGCCATATCTAGTTCCAATGTTCCAGGTTTACTAGCTGGTAAAGTATTCTTCTAATGGAATTTGGAAATTGATAAGTAGCCATATCTAGTTCTAGTAGTCTTCTAATTCTGTAGATGGTCTGTGATGCTAACGAAAGGAAATCCCTTCTGTTCATATACTAGATAAAGCCTTTCAAAAATGAGGTTGCTTCTCCATATTCCATAATATAGTTTTTGCTTGTGTTGTGTACCTGTACAGCTAGACATCAGGCCATGTTAATTCTTTTTTTCTTTTTCTTTTTGTCTTTTTTATCTCTTTTCTACCTCCAAGAAATCTCTAAATTTGGCTTGGTTCCATATCTTTTGCAGAAGATTTTCATTCTCTAGAATTTTAGATTCTGAAATTCCAATAAACATAAACCATCTTTGACAATCGTACAGATCCCCACATCAATTTCAATATTCTAAAAGCCCATATTAATTTATTTAAGTTGAATTTTGTTTATTTATATTTGCTATTATATGTTAGAATATTTTTACACCATATGAAGATAAAAGAATTTGAATTTGTAACCTTTCAGGATCTTGGTCCCTCTGTCTGCTATTGGACCAACAAATCAGTGTACATATCCTCTGAAAAATGTGAGTTGTTAGTTATCTGTCAATATCCATCCTGTTGTATTCCCCAATTGTAGCAATCTCATTCTGTTTATCTATTTCGTCTATGGCATTGACTTTACTGTTAGTTTATAGCTAGATTGAAGTAGCGGTGAACAAATGGCATATACCTAGGTTTCCATACAGCATATCTGATGGCTGCTACATCAGTAATTCTACTGCAAATGCTTTTGATTACTTGACAACAAGTCTCGAGTCATGTTTAAAAGAGAAGGAAGATTCTAGTGGGAGAGATTTGGGGTTGGATTGTCTCAGTTTCTGTGATGCTGCTCAATCTTCCAGGTGTGAAGACATTGTTGAAGAAGGACCTGATATGGAAGCACTGGATTTTCATGTTGTGGATGATATTGGATTATCCAGTTACTACTCTCCCTTTGGGATGGCTGAAGAGATTGAAGAGCCAGTGGAGTCAGAATTTATCGGACGAGACCTCAATGTTAAGAGCTGCCATGAAGAGAATGAAGTATGAGAGGAAGTATATGATTTTGCAAAATAAAAATTGCTGGTAATAAGTTTCAAAAACAAGATTGGGTATCATGTTATTAAAAAATCACCTCGCTGTGTAGAAGTATAAGTACAAATTATATGAACCATCAAAGAAAGCATATATAGGATACATAGCAAAAAATAAACATCAAAACCAGAAAAGAAAAGAAGAAAGAAATATTTTTCTGGTATTTGAAGTACAGAGACAACCGAATTATTGATTAAAAAAAACTAATCAAAGCAATACATTCAAATTTCAAGCAATAGTCATATCACATATTTGGTCGAAACAAATAAGTTATAGTCCAACAACATCACCCAGCAGCTAGAAGATCAAACTAAACTTAAAAATTAGTTGAAAACAAAACTAAGTGCAAATGAGATATCTCATTTTCGTCTACCTTCATAAGAGACATAATATCATACGAACAATACCAGTGTCAGTTCTTTAGTCTGTATCTAGAAGATACCAAATCCTAAAATTTTTACTCCGGTAGCAGTCCCAATGGAATATGTAGGTGCAATCTGGCTCTGGGCATTTAATGGATAGGTCATCTCTACAAGGCTTACCACAATCGTTGCATTTAGGAGGGTAAAAATCTATCTTCGCCAAAGTGACAGGGTGTTCGTGAACATCAATCCGGAATGGTTTCCCGAGCTTGACAAATGGGGATTTCCAAAGCACACAATTAGGATGAGCAGAAACATCGCAATCAGCACAATGATAAAACCACTGC